ACACTCTATGAGTTGATGAACAACGAGTAGATGTGTTACTGATAAAATTTGATCTAACTCCTAATTCCGAGTAGGTTGCATGAGCAGTGCATGAACCTGAGAAATTTTTTACCCTAATACTCTACTATTCTCCAAAAACAATAATTTTCCATTTCACTCTCTCGTTTTCTATGTATCTTGAGAATTTGATATCTCGGGCATAAAGGTGCGAGGGCATGAATCCTGTTGAGGTTTTTCATACCTCATCGAGGTCTATCTATCGCCAAAAGATGGAGCTTAAATGGCTTGAACACCTAAATATGTCCCCTCGTAAGTCTGCAGGTAGCTTAGGCGGAAAATTTTTTCAATTGTTCTAATGGGATGGCTTCGATTAAATTTTAATTATTTTCATGCCATGATATTAGTGTAAATTTAACTATTTTCATGAAATGAAATTTTGAAAAACATGCATGAGATTTGAAATACATGCATGAAACTGTCCGTTTCATGGCATGTCATGACATGTTTTTCACTTTCGACATCATGTCTCTGTGGAAAATTTTTCATTAAAATGATGTAAATTACATCATTTACATCTTTTTTCGTCATGTTTTTACTCCATGGGTAGCACTGATATAGAACTATTTGAAACTCACTAGTATATTGATGTTATATGTTGAAATGATTTGAGAAAACCATTATGAATTTTTTTTCCATCAAATAATTCGTTTTATGTATTACCTATCAATAAATAATAACAACGTTGTATTTCATTCAATCGTAAGATTAGATCACGTTACAAAAGTAATTTACGATTGATTTTAATGTTTTGATATGCATTTCAATATCAATGCAATCAAATCGTTTTTATTGAAGTGTTATAAAAAATGCATACAATTGAAAAATAGCCTATTGTTAAAAACATTTCTCTCCATTATCAAATGTTGAGGTGGTATAGGATTACAGCATACAAAACTATAATAGACATACCACTGTAACAAATAATAATCTACGAGTTGTTTATTTCTTTTTTCCCCGTGGATGTATAAAAAACTCTGCTTGTGTTTTGCTCATCACTCATTTTTGACCTATTTTTCTCTCCCTCGCCTGTTTATATTGTGACCCTTATAAAGATTTTGGAGAATAGGTGATAATATTTTTGGAAGTTTGATTTGAATATTTCCGCAGTGGACGCTCTTTTTACACATTTATATCAGATGATATATAGGAATTTTTCCGAGAACTTCATAGTTTCTGTTGATTCCAAAACTTTCAAGGAATCCTGAACTCTATTCGAAATCCTTGCTACATTTTTTTTCACTCGTTCAACTAGAACATCATTTGCCAACGATGATCCGCAGCAACACACTTGTATTTTGCATCCTTGTTTCGGCTATGGTCGCAACATACTGCACAGAATGGCCAAAGCAACAAGACAATCTAGCCATCAACCGTTTCATGGAGCGAATACTGGACAAACGTGAATCTCAAAATCAGTTATTTAGTGAAGTTGAGACTAGTCATCGTCTTCCTCGTGCTATTTCTGTTCGTCGTCCTATTGGTAATCATAATCCCGGCGCTGTTCCTGTTCGTCGTCGTCCTATTGGTAATCATGTTCCTGATACTTTTCCTGACGGTGTTTTGAATCGTCGTATAACTACTCATCGTCCTACTACTCGCCGTCGTACTTATAAGCCCAAGTTTCCTTGTCCTTGTCCTTGCGGTTCTGGAAGTTATTATATTTGTCCTGCTGGTTGCAAGAATATTTGTGCTAAATGTCCTTGTCCTTGTACTTTTAAGAATTATAATGTTTGTCCTTCTGGTTGTCGTCCTCGTGAGAGGTGTGGTATCCTATGAACGTAAGTAACGTAGTAATATTTCGCCTATATAAACTGTTGAGGTGATAAATCATGCAGAGAATGTTCTTAATGGATAAAGGTTTTCAAAAAACATAGATGAATCAGGGCAATTTCCATTTTCTTCAAAGGTGAATTTCGTTAATTCCAATATCGCCGAATGAATTCATGACCGAAAACCAAACAGAATCACATATAATAGACCCTGCTTATAACAACTTGCTTTGATTAATTAGATCATTACCAAATCGGTTGGTTCCCAACTAAGATGGTTACCAAGTCAGTTGGTTACCGACACAGATGGTTACGAAGTCAGATGAATACCAAGTCTTGAGGAAGAAAGTAAGGGTGATGGTATGCAGTGTCGGATTTAAGGAGTAATGGCGCTGTGGCACCCTCTGAGAAAATGTTTTCGATTTTTCCCAGCAAAAATGAACGAAAAAACGAGTTTACACTACCTCCGATGAGCTCAAAAAATGATTTTTGCCTATAAGTGCCTTCCTTAAAAATCCTAGATCCACCGCTCATGGTACGATGATATAAAATTGAGTGAGAACACATGATTGACCTTGCAGTCTATTGAGTGAACAACCAATTGACTTGGTAATGATCCAATTAATTAAAATAAGTTGTTATAGACAGGATCTATTCTTTTCGATTCTGATTGGTTTTCGGTCATAAATTGTTTCGGCGAAATTTACCTTCGAGAAAAATGGACTAATCTATGAATAAATATATGCTATTGTTGGCTTTTTGCTAATATTATTTTCCATCATCTCTACTTTCTCTGTTTGAATTTATCATTGCAAGCACTTTTGTCGTATTTAGGGGTGGTACTTTATCTTTATTTTACTTTGAAAAAGTAAAGTAAAGTAAAGTTTTTAGCTTACTTTACTCGGTAAAGTAAAGTTCAGCTACTTTACTTTACCAGTAAAGTAAAGTTGCATCCCTTTACTTTACTCAATAAAGTAAAGTTGCGTCACTTTACTTTACTCAATAAAGTAAAGTTGCGTCACTTTACTTTACTCAATAAAGTAAAGTTGCGTCACTTTACTTTACTGAATAAAGTAAAGTTGAAGAGCAATATTTTCCAGAGATAGATAAAAAGAACATCCTCTTTCAACTTTATCCGGTAAAGTAAAGTAACACTTGACTTTATTTTACCAGTAAAGTAAAGTAGATTTACTTTACTTTACCAGTAAAGTAAAGATGAGTAACTTTACTTTACTTGATAAAGTAAAGATAGAGTGCCACCCCTAGTCGTATTAAATTGACTGAATGTTTTTTCTTTGTAGCACAAATACATATGGATACAAGGAAGATCTTTATTCGACCTATTATCCCAACAAAACATTCTACAGCAGCCTTTCTTCTCTATTTGCCATTGATTTTTTATTTACTGTGCGATTCTAAGTAAAATAAAGTTCTTGCCATCAATTCAAATTTGTACTCTATACATTAACTCCATAGTGTTGATACTCCTTTGTCTAGTAGCAGCCGGCACAAGAGCTTGAACTGGTGAGGAATTTTCATAATAGACAGGACCGGATCGACCGGTATGGAATTCTTACGGAGCTGGATCTTTCGGTACAGAAAAGCCTAAACCAACAAAAATCAGTAGAGAATGCATACGTGTTGAGTTTCTTCATAAAGCTTATAGTGTCTGTATATTCGATAGATACGTAATCTTGAAATCCTAAAACTTGTCAGTCGATAATGGTTGTATCAAGGGGGAAAAAGCGGATCCTCGGATCCTTGGATCCTCTTGGACCCTCTGGATCCTTTTGGATCCTCTTGGATCCTCTTGGATCCTCTTGGATCCTTTTGGATCCTCTTGGATCCTCTTGGACCCTCTGGATCCTTTTGGATCCTCTTGGATCCTTTTGGATCCTCTTGGATCCTCTTGGATCCTCTTGGATCCTTTGGGATCCTCTTGGGATCCCAAAGGGTCCAAGAGGATCCCAAAGGATCCAAGAGGACCCAAGAGGATCCAAGGATCTGAGGATCCGCTTTTTCCCCCTTGGGTTGTATTGTAGAGTCAAATTAAAATATAATGTGATTATATAACGATATTTATTTTTATTTATCTTCCAGATACCATGTAAATAGAATAAGTTTCAATTAATAAACAGTTCATGAATACGATCAACGTTTTATAAAACAGAGAAGGCAGTTCAGTATTTGCATCAGAGCAGAACAATTAAGTTAGGGTGTGGGTGTGGGTGTGGGTGTGGGTGTGGGTGTGGGTGTGGGTGTGGGTATGGGTGTGGGTGGGGGTGGGTGTGGGTGTGGGTGTGCGTGCCG